CGTTAGGAAACAAAACTTCCAGAACACGGCCACACAGCCCGGAAGTCCCACACCAGCCATGTAAGAGAATAGCTTTAAACAGTAAAATGATCTGAAGTCCGTAGATCCCAAGTACCATAGGCAAATATTCAACTGCTAAATGCAGATCTAATGCATTCTCAGATCAACAAAAACAGAAGCAATCAAGATTAATTCTGAGCATGACAATCTACAACTTTTAGAAGGCGGATTATATACCAACAGCTTCTCTGCAGCAAGCCCAAGCGTTAAAAAAATCCTGTATAAAACTGGATAATGCATTTTTCCATTCTTTTTTTGAGTTTACAGCCATCATCAAGCACCCACCTCCTTCTTGTCCTCGCCTGAGGAACTTTCATCACTGGACACAAACTCCTTGCTCTTGAAGCTCTCGCCTAACTGTTTAGGAGGATTCTTGCAAACAGAAGATTTTACAGGTGCCGCTGCCTTCTTCTCTGTTCTGCCCTTCCCTGGTTTATCTGGCTTTTTCTTTTTGGCTTTCTCTCTGTACACATGAGAACACAGACAGATTCTTGCAATCGCAGAGTCCCTTTGGTTTAGGAGGGATGGGGTTGGGAAAAAGGTGCTTGTGTCACTGCTCACCTCTTGGAGCTGTCCAGCTTGCCCCCCTCACTGTAGTCCTTCATGGCCTTCTCATAATCCCTCTTGGCTTCTTCAGCTTTGCGCTCCCATTCCTACAAGCCAAACAGCCAGTTCTACGCACCTCGTGTTCAAGCTGCATAATCCCTCCTCCCCATACACATATACATCAACATTAATGCATATACCATTCCTACTAACTCCTCGTGTTCAAGCTGCATAATCCCTCCTCCCCATACACATATACATCAACATTAATGCATATACCATTCGTACTAACTCCAGAGTATACCCTATCTAAATGCCATGGAAACTGAAATCTAAAACTCAAAAGTTGCATTTCAAAACCCCAACTTCCTTAAATCAATACAGTAGTGTTTTCCCCTTAGGTTCATTTGTGAAGGTTTTGAAGTAGGTCAGTTTTAGACTCAAAAGTCCATGTGAGATTTAGTATGCCTCTGGGAACATCTATCAGGATAGGATTACTGTGCCCTAGAAAGTCAGGACATGCAAAACGTTTGAAGGGCAAAAGATTCCAATCTTGGAACAGACTATATTCTGACCTTGCCAGAAATGGGCTACTATGAATTAGACACTCAAACGTGTCTGGAGAAGTAGGAAAAGCACCTTATGAAGCATTCTGATCTTGAAATGGTTTGCTTAACTCTACTGAATGGCTCCTGGTGCCCTACGGAGCAGTGCAAGAGTAGCAGCCCTGCTAATCCAGCACAGAATCTCATCAGGTCCAGGAAGCTATTTCCCAACATTCCCACTACCAATACCAGTGTAGATCATTGCTTGTTTATTTATTTGTTTGATTTAGATCCTGCCTTATGGTCAGGAGTTCAAGGAAGCAGACATAGTGCTTCACCCTCCGATTTCTCCCCAGATCAACTCTGAAGTATACTTTGGGTTGAGAAAGTGCAACTGGCCCAAAGTCATCCAGTGAGCTTCTGTGGCAGAAAGTAGACCAGAACTGGGTCTCCCCACCCTAGCCTAACAGCTTAAGCACATAAATTCCTCAGATTTTTAGAGAAAAGTCTTTCTGGGTGCTGATGTGGACTGAATCTAGTGCTCTGTGCATGCAAGGCGTATTCTCTCCCACTATGTTTAAGGCTCCCAACAACCGTACAATTTCAGAAAAGTCTATCATGCCTCATATCTCCCTAGACTTTGGTTCTATTTTTAAAAACTGAAAAATGCAATTTAAGTAATTATGCATCTTTGTAATTAAGTGGTACACAATTTGGGATTTATTACTAATACAACACATTTCCAGAAAAAAACACAAAACCTTCATTCTCATCCCCATGAAATGGGATTCCAGTCAGCACCCATCTCTTTACCCACCTCTTTCTTCTCTTTTGACATTCCTTTCCACAGTTCTCCAGCTTTTTTTGACACATCAGTGACACTCATGCCAGGACTGTCTGATCTGATCTTGTCACGGTTAGCATTGAGCCAGAGCATATAGGCCGATAATGGCCTCTTTGGGGCATTGGGGTCTTTCCCTTTCTTACCCTGGGAGGGGGGATGACAGAAGAAAATCAAGAGAAAAGCATAACCACATCGTAAAGACAAGCCTCCTTCCCAGTCTCTCCTACAAATAACTTAAAAGATGCATCCCTTCTGACCTAATATTTTATGCCTCTACTTTCAAATAAATGGGATAGCCAACTTGTTTCCAATTCCAAAGACTACCATTCCAGCAGCCCTCTGCTATGTGAGTTGATTCATGGGCAAGAGTCTTCTTTAGCCCTCTCCACCATCTGAATGGAAACAGTCTTCCCTACAACCATGGGAGGGCAAACATTTTGAGACACTGGGCATCCTGGGAATTTTCACGGGTGCTCCCAGGAGAGGCTCCATTGACAAAATGATTGCCAGTGAAAATGGCCAATCACAAAACGCTAATTTACTAGAAATACCATTTATAAGGAGGAGCCCCAAGATATTTTTTGCAGCTTAATTCATGCTCTAGTAGATCCTGCATTGAGTAGGCAGTTGCAATAGATGACCTTGATGGTCACTTCTGACTCTATAATCCTGAAGTCTTTTTTGGTACACAGAAGCCACTTTTGTATGCCTTTCAAGACTCTCAGCTATGATATTAAAGCCTCAAGAGAGTCTGTTTCAAAGGTTAATCCCCTCATAAAAAAAGAAAGGAGTATACTAAATTCATTTTTTTCCTTTAATTCAGATGCAATTTGAGGAACTGATTTTGATTTTGGAGCTTTTCTCTTCATCTAGTTAGTGTTGCTAATAGCGTCCATTCTCTGGAGACACAGAGGGAAGTTACACAATTAAGTCATATGTGAAGGTTCTCCAACCACCAAAACTCCAAACTGAGAGAGAGATCAGTTACTCTGAACAAGACTCAGTCTCTACTGATCTCTGAGCAACAGAAGAGAGCCCTCAGTAGGATACAAGGCTGGTTCTAATTATACTGAATCCAATCATTATCTTGCTTGACAGACATACACAGATGAGTTCAGTTTTCACCTCAGACTGTTTCTTGCGGGGCTTCCGTTCTTTAACAATTTTGGCTTTTTTGGCAGGTTTCTTCTTCTCATCACTATCCCCTTCATTACTAGAAGAACTAGCAGAGGCATTGGTATCAAACCTGTCTCAAGAAAAAGTCAGGAGGGGTGGGTCAAAAATGATTAGTAAATAAGTGTGCATGTACACAGGTACATCCATTCCCAAGTTTTAATAACTTCCTTATCCTAATAAAATCTCAGATCTAATCTACAATTCCTGACATTTTACATCACAAGATCATTATGTCAAGAACAAATCCTATAAAGAATTCTGCACAATCAATCTAGAAGAAATCAGGTAGTAGAAGTTTTAAGTTCACATTACTACAAATTATTTGTTAGACATAGGAGTGTAACAAAGGTATTAAATCATTACATGAAAGAATCAAGAGGAAAAATGACTTTGAGACTCACTCTTCTATTTGAGCAAGTATTTATTTTTCTTTTCAGAAATCCATCAAACAAACCTCCCAAATAAGTAAACAAAACCACTCCTGAACATTCCCTTCTAGGCAGATTGGCTTTACTGGCATCAATGCTTGCCTCCAAGCTATTCTCCAGCAGCTGCAAGGAAAGCATCCATAGATTTCTAATGCTCATGATTTTCCTGAAGATATAACCTTTACTATACTATATGACTGTTGTGAGATCAATATATCTTCCAGATGAAATTATCTCAATATGGCAGCATCACTGTACGGTTAATTGTCCTCCAATTATACAGTCAGTTGCCTTAAAATTGCAGTTCTGAAAGTTGGCTAAGGGATGTACTAAATAAATTCCAATTCCAGTCTTACCTTATTTCTACAATGCCTAGGAAATATGGTATTCCTACAGTCAAGCTCAACTGTTCTCCCTTCCCTTTCACTATTATTACTGTAGTCATTCTTAGCACAGATATTTAATATGTCTCTCTTGGAAGTATTTTAATCTTGAGATTTTCCTGTTTCTGCATTCTTAGGTTAGCTCAATCATTTTCTAAGACATGAATATGCAGTTCAGTGTCTTCCAAATACTTTGGACAACAATTTCCCAAAGCCCCAGTCTTCAGGATTAACATTCTGAGGTTATGGGGATAATAGTCTGGAGCGCACCAGGTTGCATATTTTGGTTCTAAGCTGAACATAGTGACCAGTGTTCACTGCAAACTAAAGCAGCACCAGTACTTCTAAAAATATTTATTGTTTGTAAGATTTGTAGCCTGCCTGTGGTTCAGGAACTGAAGATGAAGTATGAATCTAATGTCACTAGATAATACTTTTATTACTTAAACAACACTAAAGTGTACCACAACTTCATTCATACACCACAGACATTAAACAAGAGAATCCCTGACCATCTAATTTTTTTTAAACTTACTCTTCTGCCACATCTTCCTCCTCCTCTACAGGATTGAATGATTCATCTGGAAAAAAAAGGAAGTCCTTATTCCTAATCCAAAGAAATTAACAGGAAATGTGTGTGCCTATGTAGAAGAAGAGATGGAAAGATCCTAGCTGCAAGTGAAAGCAATCTGGAGAAACCAGGCCAGCCACTGAAAGAAAGAACTCACCTGTCTCCTCCCCAGAGTCCTCACTGCTGTCATTTGCATGCTCCTCACGAATCTTGCCCTCTTCCTTCATCCGCTCCAAGTAGGCATCATGGGAGTCTTCATCAGAACCATCATATTCATCATAGGTCACATTCTTCATGCCCTAGTAACACACACATTGGGCTCCATGGATGCTAGCACAAGGGTTCCACTTGCCACAAGCAGACAAAAACTCTTCAATTGTTTTTACACCTAAAGCATGCAGAGATTCTACACCTGCAACTCCCACCATGCTCCTAGGCACACAAACTGCAGAGAGAAGGTTTCTGGTACACAAATCCCACAGATGCCTCAACAACCGATTACATGCTGCTTCCCAGAGTCTGCTAAAACACCCTTTCCCTCCCCAGGGGAAGGGAGGAATCATGCTAGTGACTTAACAGTGGATTAGGTAGAAGCCACTCCTGGAGCAAAGCAGGCTACTGCCCCATCCCTGTGGTTCATGCAAGGTTATACTATGGTGATTAGAAATGTTCACCACAGCCATGCAGAGGAGACCTGAACCAAGAGGAGGAAGAGGAGGGGATAATCGCACAGACCTTTTTCTTCTACAAGGAGAGAACAGAAATTGAGAAGGAAGAAAGCTCTGGAGAGAAAGAGAAACCCCCAGCCCACCCCAAGCAGATCAGGAACAGGACTAGACAGCAATTGCCTTTCCTTGTTCTCTCTTGCCCACCCCCTGAAACAGCTACCTCCTTGAGTCCTCGATTCTTGATGTTCAATTTCTTGGCGTTCACAAAGTCAAAGAGTTTGCCATATTCTTCTCTGCAGGGAAGAGAAATCATAGGAAGTATAATCTAGCATAGGACCGATATTCACCTGCCTATGACAAAAGCAGACCAAGCAGGAGCAATACAATTTTTTGTTGGTATTGTAGAGAATGGGGGGGGGGAAGCGATGGGCAGGTGGAGGAAAAGGATCAAGGCAAGATGAGGATCAAATGAAAAAACATTTGAAATCATGGGTCACAGTAGCAGACAAGCAATACAAACAGCAGTTTTTGTTCTTTATCATAAGGGTTTTGCCAGCATCCTCTGAAATGTGAGACAGCCTACACATCACAAAGCAGCAACTGAGATGGATGGTATCCCTCAACAGCTCTGCTGGGTTACATCCACTTACCTCTCTATGCTGCTGAAAGTGTATTGTGTCCCCTGCTTAGTTTCTATCTCAAAGTCAAAGGAGCGTGTCGTCGTAGTCCCACGAGCAAAGTTGACAAAAGCAATCTCATCAAACCGGATGTGAACAGGTGGCTTGTGCACATAGATGAAGCCACGTTCCAAAGGGTACAAGAGCCCTGAACTGGCCTTGTAGGAACAAGTGATGCACTGGGCTCCGGAATGTCTAACAAAGGAAAAGGAACATCAATATAAATTTTGTTGAGCCAGATAAAGGCAGCTATTAGAAAACACAGGGACACCTTATCAAACCAGGGAGCCTAACTATCCTATGTTATTTTACCACCAGCTGGCTTAACCTGTTAGTAACCAAGAGGAAAAGGTACTTACTACAGATAGGTTCAATGTGTTATTCATTGTACCTATCACCCAAGTCTTTATGCCTCTTTTTTCACTCTCCTACCAAACACTGAAAGCTGATTATTCACAGTTCATCTGTTCCTACAATCAACATTCCTTACCCCTGAAAGTTGCCTGGGACAGTGATCTTGCGGTTCACAAGGGCTTTCATGACACGACTGACCATCTCATATAGAGAGCCAGACATATTTTTGGTGAGCCGTCCCTCAAAGCGCTTCTCAACTTCATCCCTTTAAGTAGAGAGAATACAAATCAAGACAGAGCCAGACTCCCCATGCAATACTAGGACACTAAGAAAACAGGCGAGCCTGGGAGTTAAGAGTAATAACAGAGAACAGATGGAGACAAGCCCAGTTCTAAAACAGCCAATTGCACTGCTACCACATAAATGACTTTATTCCACATAAATAATCAATTTTCACAATTATCTCTCACACACATGTACATCCCCACATGAACAAATGCAAGACCAAATACAAAGGCTTTCAGGTTATTTGACTATCATATAAAACAATGTGTGAATCTAGCCATTGTGACTTATTTAACAACCCAAGGCCTAAGCAACCATGGCTTCCTGAGATGTATGAATCTTGATTATAGAAGGGCACTTACTCATTCATGTTGAGGGTCAAGGAGATATCTTCATCCTTTGAGAACAGTAGAATAAGGAAATGATAGCGAGTTTGGCCTTGCTTTATAGGAGGATCTAAGCTGATCTGGAACGAAGCAGAGACAGCAGTAACTATATATATATGAATCTCAGTCCAGAAGAGCCATTCCAGAAGTCCATTAAACATGCAGCAAGGAGAGTTTCCTAAGGAGACTGGTCTTATCTCTCAGCATGATAGAATGAGAACACTGAAACTGAGGAAATAGCTGCCCAGCATCTCTCTCCACTCCTACTATAGTCCAAAAACACAAAAGAGATGTGAGTCCAGCCAGCCAAACATTATATGGAAAACATATAGTTCAATAAAGTTCCTATTATTTCTATAATAACCAAGAAGATGGACATCTGGAATAATTAGAAACTATTAAAACTAGGAGAAAGAGACCATTTCTGGATTCTTCCTTCCACCAGAAAGGGATATCAAGGATGAATAATTTTACTTTTTGGATTTTAAATTAGTTATACAGAATTTAAGCAGTTAGTCTCTCTCATAAAAGACTAAAGAAGGTTTCTGAACGAAACCTATTTTGAGAAGCAACCACAGCGATTACATCTCACAACAAATATGTTGATTATGATTCCAAAATTCCTCACCACAAAAAACATCTGGCGCTGGTCTTTATGGGGAAGTAAGAAAAGTCTCAGAACAGTAGTATATGGGATTTTGTAATCAAATGTTTTGCCATGGAGGTGCAGGAAGGTAGGATAGATACGGATATCATAGCGTCCACGAGGAGTCAAGCACTGCAGTTCTCGGAAGATGCAGATAGCATCTCCAGTAGCCTGGATGACATCCGCTTTTGATAACACGTTCTGGGCAAATGCCTGCAACAGCAATGAGAGTTTTATGAACAAGCGTTTTCTCTTCCACTCTGTCACCTCAACTTCAGGTTCAACTTACCTCCACGGGATCCACGCCATCCTCCTGAGTGGGTGGTACATAGAAGCGGACCTCCATGAGTGACACCTCAGCATCATCATTCTGATGGAACTCCAGGGTCACCTCATTCTTGCCAGTTGTGCACTGGGACACATTACTGAGCGGGATTTCAAAAACAGGTTGCTCCCCAATGTCAAAAGATAGAAGTTGCCCTTGCAAAAAAAAAAAAAAAACGGATTTTTTCCCACCAAAATACATTACCCTATATCTCACATCCTGCTAAGCTATAATGTACTTAGCACACTGGCTTTGGTTTCGCATGATGGTGCAAACCACTTGGTGATTTGCAAACTAAGGTTTATATAGAAGGGGTGGGCAACCTTTTGACTGTTGGGAGCCACATTTAACATAGAAGAGCAGGGCCACATCAAGCAGGAAAATGATATAAAATGGATAGGACGCTATCAGGGCTGGAATTTTCAGGGTTCTTCTGCAGTTTTGTTGGAGTGGGAGGATTGGGGTGGGTAATTTTGTTTTTTAAATTATATAAGCCTATTTTACAGTACAAGCTACCTCAAAAACAACATCTCCAGTATTTAGCATCAAGGATCATAAGTTTTGGGGAGCTGCAAAAAGAGGTTGAGAATCATATGTAGTCCTGGTGCTATAGGTTTTCAATTTCTGGGTTATGATTTAGCATAATATGCAAACTCGGTCAACTGTTGTTTGTTTAATAAGCCATGATTACAACAAACATTGCTTAGCCCCATATGTAAACTCAGCAACTACCTCATAGTCAACAGTCAATCCCTCCCCAAAATAACTAAAAAAACCTCCATCTCTTTCTATTAGTTATGTCTCGTTGAGTTCTGTTTCCAATTATCAATTTCCATGGAGTGGGATATCATCTATAGTGTAAAACTCACCTCCAAATTTGACTGTCCCCCAGTTCCAACCTTTCACACATAGATCTTTCTCAGCAAGCTCTAAATGAAAGTGGGTTTTGAAGAAATCTGAAAGTTTGTCAAACTCCTAAGGATGAAAACAGCCAATTTATACACCAGCAAGCTAAAGACACGTACAGCAGTAATTTGAAGCAAGTCCCTTTTTGTACACTAGAGAAATTTAGATTATACTTCAGATATGAAATCATACTACAGTACAGGCCCTAAAAATATAATATTAAAAAAATTATGTGGGAGTTGAGCCATTAAAAAAAAGAATTAAAAGATCTGTGTATTTTACCAGCATCACTTTCTACAACAAATGCAAACATATCTAAAAAGACTCCAAAACTATACTTGCTTTGATTTAAACTGGGCTACTGGTGATTTGCATAGATATATCTGTGAAATTTTCCTGGCTTGGTAGAGAAGTGGTTTGCCATTCTTTTTTTCAGGATTTTTAAAAAACCTCATTGAATCAACAGGTCTAGAATTTATCTCCCATCCAAGTACAAAGTAGGGCCAACTCTGTTTAGCTAATCAAGGTCAGCTAGGTGCTGTCACTGGCTGATGCAAGTATCTCTAGTTACAGCTAAATAGGAAACAAGCATTGCTGCTACAAGTGCCATTCGTGTTACAAAGAGCAGCATAAGATCCAAGGTTGAAAGGCACACTGGCATAATCAGATTAGATATCCAAATGCAAACTCTCTTGCTATAGTGAACACTCCAGTAGCAGATTTTAAAATAACTGCCTATCCAAATAAAGCTCTGCATTCTTCTCTCATGCATCATGTTCAAAAACAAACCTGTATCAAAAAGGCCTTACCGTCTCTCTGAACCCATCATACTTGTAGACATGGCCACTCTTAGTAAGCAGTTTGAGGCCGTGGCCCAATGCTACTCGCCTCCAGACACCCTCTGCCAATTCTGAGGCCTGAATGTTGTCAACTTTCCCAGTTTTGCTGTTTTTGAAAATCACACCTTGACGGCTTAGCCGCAGACGGCCATCATTCTAGCCCAGAACAAACAGAAAATGTTAGTAAGAAAACAATAGTGAATAGCAGATGAAAGCAGAGGATGGTACCTAACCTTTTTAGGCAAGGGAACACCAAAATGCTTCAAACTCCTGCTTCCAAAAGGAGGAAGAAACTATTTCCTCCCCTAAATTAAACAAAAATAAAAAAAACTTATGTCCTAAGTATCTTCATTCTTTCAAGATCCTTTAAGATCCTCTTTAAAATTTAGAATCACTGGCAGTAAACATACATCCATATAGGTAAGCAGTTGCAGAAATCTGCACACATAATGTGAAAACCTAGTTCTCTGGAGAGGTTCATAATGCTGGAAAAGGTGGAAAGAGAGGGAAGAAGACAACCAGCAGCAAGGTGGATGGACTCAGTTACAATGGCAATGAGTGCACCATTGAAGGAGCACCTGAAGGAGGTTGAGGACAGATTGACCCAATAACACATAATCTATCAATCAATCAAGTTGCAGAAATTCCTTCTAACATTGTGCCCAAACAATTGAAATGTGGCAGACAACATTTCATATATATGCTTTATCCCACCTAGACCGGACATGCAGAATTTAGTACCATTGAAGCCTTGGCTATAGACTAGGCTAAGCAGTGGCTTTCTCATCAATTAGAATACGTAGATGCTTTTGCAGAACAAAATAAATGTTCTTGCAAACCTAATGAGTGGACCATTGTTCTGATTCAATTTAAATTAATGCCTCATTACTCAATCAAAAAAGGAACCTAGAAAGAAAACATGGCAATTTGTTCTTGTTTGATATTCCAGGTGCTCTCACTATATCTATATTGCCATTTGAAGATTATTTTTCTCAAGATACTACAGACAATAGTATGCTTATTCAATTAGCATTATCTCCCATGCATCATACACTTTAAACTTGTAACTTTAAAGCCATGTAGTTAGCCTTTGTTTTGTATACAAGGAGAAAGCATACAGCTTTTGAACAAACAATTCAGGATTATGGAGAACAGTATATTATCCATGACAAGTGCCACAAATGTATTAGGACTGAAAACCAGCATTAACGTATGCAGGAAGAGAGAGCTATTACTAGAAATCAAGCTAACAGCAAAACAGCAGCACTGGGACATACAATACTACAACACAAATCACTCAGTAATTTTTAGACGTTTGGACTATTCATTTTTAAATTAAGCTAAGCTAAACTAAACTGGTTCCCTATGCATTTTTACAGTGACAATATCCTGAGTGATATACCATTATTTTGCCCAGTTAGGCCCAAAGTGGCACTAACAACATTAAATAATTAAAAAGGCCTTACAAGAAATATGATTATCATCAGCAATTTCAAGATACATTTCAGTGATTAAGGTACAGTAGCATCATGGAAATTCTACAATCCCTAAATCAGAATTCTTGAGAGGCAAGGTCTGTTCCATTACAGAAACATGTTATCTACAAACCTTATCTTCATACAATCATATAAATGTTTCTCATTTAACACAGTTTACAAGTCCTCCCTCCGAATTACCAAGATCCATCTATTCAGAAATGTTACTACATCACCTACCATAGATCCCTTCACCTCTTGGTATATTTCATTGAACTCCAATGTATCTGCCATGCTGACAGCTCCCTGCCCACAATGGCAGGGGCTGGTGTCAGATCACTAAAGTGTACTGTTTAGGATAAGGTGTTGTGCAAGGAATCACTCAGGACGTCAAGCAGAAGTCTTAGTGACTGGCATGTTCTACCCTAAGAGAAGCAAAGGAAGCCCTGAGAAACCAAGAACACTGGATCTCTTCTTTAAGAAATCTGGAAAGGAAACAGATACATAAAAGCATTTACTTCCAAGACAAAAACAACCAGTTTCCCTTTACTGTTGCAAACCAAGCACTCTCTTCATGCCAAACCAGCTCTAATAACAGTATCCCAGTGGCAGTTTTAAAAAAGTCAACATGGAACTTTATTAAGTTGCCCGAACACCATGGAGCCCACAAGGAATTTACCTGCCTTCCGGGGCAATTCTTTACTGCCCTTGCCAGTTCAGAAGTGCGTCAGGAAGATTTATTTAGACCACTTTTGCCCCACCTGGGAATGGCAGTCCCCCAACACACTGGATGGACGCCAGGCTAGGAGAGATTGATGTCAGAGATCGCAGCTCTAGAGAGCCGGCGAGCGCAGAGGTGCAGACATAAGGCCCGCTTCCACCACAACGCCGGCAATGCGTCGCCCAGCAGTTTCATGCCCAGCCGTGTCGCAGCCGCCACGACTCCCGGCCCAAGCCCCGCATCACTCACCCCTCTCTCGCCAGACACAGTTTCCCGCCTGCGCAACACGAGTCCCAAGCAGCCCCCTTCTGCTGCCACCGGAAACCAACCTCACTTCCGCCTTCCGAAGTTACAGACCGACTGTCGATCCTGCGAGGCTCCGAGCTGGTGTTTCTTCCGGCATGCTAAACTTCCGATCAAAAGGGATGGCGGCTCTGCTCCACTTTTCTCTATGAATGCAGAGTAATTCCACTCTAGCCCTTCGCGTCTCTATGGCCGAGGTCTTGGCGCGCCTTCGGGTTTTGATTAAAAGCGCCCAAAAGTGGGGTGGGATTTCTGGGGTGGGGGGGGGATGTTAACCTTTGCTTTCTTACAGTCGGAAGCCGTGGTGGTGAGAGGTGTCAGTATTTTCTGTAGGCACCTAGAAAAGAGTAGCCTTGCCTTTCTCCTCTAATTTTATGGCAAGGACTAAAGCCTCCCGTGTTAGGCAAAGCTATTCTTATTGAAAGCATTTTCCCGCCTTCTCTGGCGGGATGGTTGGATAGGTGACGATTTGCCTGAAGGCTGTGGGGTACCGAAACAGAATTTTGTTTAAACAAAGTTAACAGGCAAATATAGTAATGCTGTAAAAATGAATACAAAAGCCATCCAGCCGTTCCCTTTCAGGGCAAGCAACATTACACAGCGTAGAAAGGAAGTAAGAAATAGCTGAAGAAATTAAAGGCATAAGAAAATAAAATAGAGGTAGACTAGTCTGCATTAACACTTTTTGCTATATCTCCTTTCATTACAAATCATTGTGCTGCCATCACACCCATACACCACTTCTCGCTATAATGCTCGTTTTGTCTTTCAACATCTTGCTTCTCATTTTCAGGATTTTATCGACTCCATCCAACCACAAGTTTCTTGTCAGTCTTCCCCTTCCTCTGGCCCCTTTCACCTTTCCTTTGTATACTTTGCAGTCAGCCCTTATTCATTCTCTCTATAAGGTCAAACGACTTCAAACTACTTCTTTCATACTGGTCGCTCACTTTTGCATCCAATTCACATTCATTCGTCACCTATTCATTCATTCTTGACCCCCTCTTCATAAGTACCCCATTCCACTGCATTCAATTTTTCTTTTTTTCCTGACCTACCCAACTCTCACTTCCATAAACAAAGTGGGCAGAGACACAGCCATTTTTACTTCTTTAAGAAACATTCATTTTTCTTCATAACAGACCACATACAATCCACTATTTTTTACCAAGATCTTTTTTAAGATTTTCCATTTTTAGAAAACGTTCAACCAAGGTACTCAAATTCAAGCATTTGTTCAAGTCTTTTTGCCATGTATGTAAAACTTGCAATCATTCACTGTTTTCCTTGTTAAGTACTATTCTCGTAATTGATGTGTTAATTTTCAGTTTCATACTCCTTGTTGCATCACACAGTCTATTTAATGTTTGTTACTTTACTTCCATCATTCAGTTTCAGCCAGCAACAGAAAATTGTCTGCATACAAAAGTACATGACATGTATAATTTATATTTCCAACCAATACTCTTTTAACATCATCACAGTATATATTTATCCATCAGCACATTAAACAAGCTAGGAGACATCACGCATTCTTGTTATATTCCCCCTTCAGTGTTGAACCATTCACTTAAGTATTCCATTTATTTTCAAGCATTATATACTTCCAACATATGCTGCTCTTACCACATCTAGCTAACCTTCAATTCCATTTTTTGGCAAAACATTATAATTCAAACCTCTAATTATTATCATATGTTTTCTCTAAAGCAACAATCATCCAACAAAATGTCATTCTTAGATTCCTACATTTCTCAATGACCCACTGAAAAGTAAAAGCAGTCACCTGCATTTCCCAAATTTTAATCACTCTCATATTTTGTATTCTTTCAGTCAGAATTCTGCTAAACACTTCTCAAGCACACTTAAAAAACTAACCCCTGTGTCATTTTTGCATTTACTCATGCTACCTTTCCCTCTAGAGAAGGGAACAGTAGCAGCATTCTTGCAATCGTCAGGCACAGATGCAGTTCTCACACATATGTTAAGCATGTCACACTGTCACTGCATAAACAAAGGGGCACCAACGAGTTGGTAACTGGTTGACACACGGTATAAAATGGAAGATTTTTTTTAATGCTTTTCTATGTTCTTGTTTGTTTATG